TGTTGCAGTTTTGTGAACTCTCTAGTGGAAATCTCACAATGAAGTGTAACTTGAATGACTTATTTTCTCAATATACAATATACCTCGATACAATCGTCAGATTGACTTTGATTTATGCTAGAGTGTTAGTATATGAGATGTTCCTTCCCTCTTTGGCATGCTTCTCCTCTGACATAGATTCCGTAGTCAAAATAAAGTCACTCGTGTTCCAGGCACATTCTGCTACCTTGGTTGGATATGTCCTGCACTGACGAGGAATAGTACTCCCAAACTGATCTATAGGTGATTCAAGCCAAACATATTCCAATGTTCCTCGTGGCATTAGCTAGGGAAGTAGTTGAATTCGTGCAGTCATTCAGCAAATCCTACTAAAAGAGATTTGGTATTTGAGGTTGATGATTTCGGAATTCATTTATGGATATCTCTGGAAATGGGGATAGAATTATTAGCAATTATTTTTTAATTTTCTTCAAAGCCATAGCGAAGTACAGAAATGTCATTATTCTCATACGATAGAGCATACAGAAAACAAACCTAGGGCATTTTATCACAACCATTACCACTGTCATATAAAATGTTTACTCATCACAATGTAAATTTTCATACAATAATCGGCTACTGACGTTAATCTTCTACACATTAATGGGATCTAGGTATATCTGTGTTTTATATCAAACATGCTCACAATATTCCTGATGTCCTATAGTAGACATGGTCAACACTAATAATATTTCATTTCACTGTAATCAGATTTGGTGATAACAATATTGACGATAAATAGAATAATGATTCTCATAACGAGTTATCTGATATACAGGGAAAAATTATTATTAGTTATAGTCTATCCATATTCAATTGGAACGGCAATGAAAATACGAAAACATTTCTTGCCTATGGCCCCTAGTCGCCCAGATAGTAAATAAACGTGCTATCAAATGTAGTTAAGGAATAAAGGCTTGGCTAGCTGGACTAACTGAATACTAATTTTTTGTCCGTTTCACAATATTTCTGTATCAGTGCCGTGTGTTTGTGGGGATAGGTGGGGTAGTGAGTGGTTTTGCAAACCGATTTTTGAAAACTTTTTTTAGAGATAAATTACCCTAACACCTAACTGATATTTTTGCACGCGCGTTTTGCTAACAAGGTTAGCATCTTCAGGAGAAGCCAATTGATACTGAATCTAAAGACAAGGGTAAGCTGTTTATATACCTAGAGGTTTTTGATCCGATGTGGACTTTGTTTGTTAAATGATGATTCTCCTAATTGATTTTTCGGTAATTAACAAGTGGAACCACTACCTGCAAATTAATCTGTCAACAATAGATTAAAAAGCAGACAAATTACTTTGCAGGCAGTGATTCCACTAGTTAATTACCGAAAAAAATTAGAATAATCATCATTTAACAAACAAAGTCCACATCGTACCAAAAAACTTCAGGTATATAAACAGCTAACCCTTGTCTTTAGATTCAGTATCAATTTGATTTCCTGAAGATGCTAACCTTGTTAGCGAAACGCGCGTGGAGTGCAAAAATATCAGTTTGGTGTTAGGGTAATTGATCTCTAGAAAAAGTTTTCAACTTTAACACCAAAGGTTCCAATCTCATCGTTTTAACCGATTTTTGTGAAAATCTTAGTGTTTTTGGGTACTTTCATCAATATGGCTTTCTGGAGACCTTTTGAAACAAATAATAACATTACGTGTGAGGAATCTGTGTCAATCGACAGGGATCCGGAATTTTAAAATAAGGACTTACATGTTCAAGTTCAGCGAGTAATTTCAAATATTCATGAATGCTTGAAGACGGAAAACTGCCACACTCACAGAATGCTATTGTGAATGGAATATGCGAGTTAACGAAACTATTTCGTCAACAGTTCTTCGAGTCATTAAAATAGGATATGTCATTGACCTTGCAATGAAACGAAAACAAAAGAATAAAAAATTCGCAAACATTGATGGTGCTACAAAAGATGTGATTCGGCGAACAATTTATGGTATATACCAAAAAAATGAAGTACCAACTTCGGAAATAATTTGGTATAAATTACTCGACTATCTCGATTACAATTACAAATCTTTAGAAACTCTACGAGGTGTCTTATTGTCTTGTGACAAAAAGCCTGCACTTCTCACTCAGATGAATATCTGCAAGAACTATCATTTGAGTAAACATACTGACTCGATTATGGCTTAACATACAATCCAGCCTCTGTAGGGATATGACAGAATTTGTGGTTTCATGAGTGAAACTCATCGACATCTCCGACCACAGTCTGAGAGACTGAAGAAGAAGAAAAGAAGAAACAATTGGTTACTAATACCCCTACAGTTTATTGAAAATGAATAGCTATTTTTGTCTGTTGTCACAAATCCAACACACAAATTAATGTAGATTTGCTTTTTCAAATAGAAACATTCACTTTAATAATTATTTTCAGTTTGCCGAAATCCAACACACAAATTAATGTAGATTTGCTTTTTCAAATAGAAACGTTCACTTTAATAATTATTTTCAGTTTGCCGATAGAATTGCCCCTAGCACTAGTATTCGATGAATGATCTTCTCATACAGCGATGAGAATGGTAACTACAAAAAATTTCAGTGCAAGGAATTCATCTCAATATTTTTTTCTATCAATGTAGGTACTCGTTAGAAGCCGTTTCAGAAGTAATATAGGCTGCATTTCATCCAGATGTCCCCACGGGATCGGCATATAAGCGGTAGTTGGAACATTGTATACTGAAAAAATATGTTGAAACCGGCAATTGAAACTAGCTGAATTTGGTTGATTTACAAAAAGATACACAACAAAATCTTAATATTTATGAATGGAAACTATTCGTGACGTCCGCCTCAGTAACTGAATGTATGACTGAGCCGCGCGGATATTGAGTACTTTATTTATAAATGGACCTTGGTTAGGTGCGACATTCAAAAGACACTGGGCAACAAAATATAACCCATGTTACTTGCTGATAATGTAGCTTTCTACAGGTGAAACTATTTTTAAAATAGATTGAGTAGTTTTCGAGTTTATCCATTATCAATAACCACCAAACCTTTCTTCTACGAGTATACAATAACAGTTTGAATAGGTTACAGACGTATTTTTATTGAACGGTTTCATTTATCTTGCCCTGATTGTTATTATTGATTAGTAATTAAGGTTTTACACACTTTCTGTTGAGAAATTCATACGAAATTTGGTTTTCATGAAAATACATTGATTTAGTTTTGATGACAATACACTATAATGAATTCTGTATTATTGTAAATACAAGATGGTCGTAACTACAACATGGCGGATTAAGGTTTTATTGTAAAAAAATAATGTTGAAGATAATGTACTGAAAACTGAAAAATAATCCAGGGGGTCCTAGGTAGCAGTCATCACACCACTCTCCTCAACAATCTGCGGTATTTATAAACAAAATCTTTGGGTGCCGTATTGAAAAAGAATACGCTTTGCCAATGATTTTATTATTTTTTTTAATCTGATCAATACTGTAGATTGCTGAGAAGAGTGGTATGATGACTACTACATATTAATTGAAGTTTGACCTCCTTCATGTTGAAGATTGATCTAAAATTTGGTAAACATATTTAGTTTTGAGGACAATACAGTTAAATGATTTCTGTATCATTGTGAATTCAAGATGGCCGCAAATACAAAATGGCGTATTAAATATTGTTTCACAACTACTCCAACATAGGTATCAAATGACGACTTGGCTTGCAAGCTACAGCTACAAAATGGCGGTCTACATGTTTTTTCACAACTACCTCAATATGGGTATCAAGTGACTGGATTTGACTTGTGAAATAGTAGTATACTTTGAAAAAGATGCAAATTCAAGATGACCTTAGCTACAAAATGGCGAATTACAAACTATTTCATATCTATCTCAAAATCGGCATCAAATGACAGACAGGACTTGACTAGTGGAATATTAGTATACGTTGAAAAAGATGCAAATTCAGGATAACCGCAGCTACTAAATGGCATATTATAAATTTTTTCACAAGTACCCCAATATGGGTATCAATGGGTATCAAATGGCAGGACTTGACTAGCAGAATAGTAGTACACTTTGAAAAAGATGGAAATTCAGGATGGTCGCAGTTGCAAAATGGCGGATTACATATTTTTTCATAATTACCTCAATATGGGTATCAAACGACAGGACTCGACTAGTGGAATAGTAATATACTTCAGAAAAGATGCGAATTCAGGATGGCCGCAGATACAAAATGGCGGATTACATATTTTTTCACACTACCTCAATATGGGTATCAAATGGCACGAGAATCTGTTTTTCCGTTAACTAGCTGTCGCACCCTTACGAACGACAACCCTTAGAAGTCGAAACGTGTGCGGGCTAAGAAATAACGAGGTCTTACCTTTTAACGTATGATTCCTAACACGAGTTGGACAATAGCAAGTGTACGATAGCAAAGTACTCACGTCGAATCGACCGGCTACCAAATAGTAGTAGACTTTGATAAATATGCAAATATAAGATGGTTGCAATTATAAAATAGCGAATTACATATAACCTTGTAATCTACGGTATGGATCAGATGAAAAAATTATAAAATCGTTAGGCGTAGTATTTTCATATTGCCGAAAATAGTGGTTTGATAAATGCTATTTACATAATTATCATCTTTTTTCTTCAGTAAAATCGTTTAATATAATTTTTTTCTACTCATTTCATATCTTATGTAAGTATGAATGAAACACAATGGAAAACTGTTTAGCAGATCAAATGTTTGAATTTTTGTTTCATTATGGGTAGATAATAGGTACTTACTTTGATCTATGAAAAAATACTTGTTGAATATTATCTGCTATTTTCGCGATGCCTGTCTGATTTCTGGGCTATCTGAATACTATAGGATTAATTATGATAAATTTCACTTTCTCGTATGAAAGCTGATGATTCCAAGTTGCTTTCATAACTTTCGAATTCTCGATGGAAATAAAAATCCAGATGTACTCTGAGGCTCTTTATTTCAGAGTCAAAAGTCACATTCCAAAGCAACCAGCACATTGTTGATAACTGTTGTAATTCATATAAAAGTCTTCTCTACAGAAGTAACAACTTCTCATAACTACTTGACAATACCCAAAGTTTGAACAGGATGTCACTGGAGCAAACGGTTTTTTGTAACACCCACTAATACAAGGATTCGTAACTTGGTACATAGTCGAATGACTACACTGGTCACCACACATCATACCATACGGATTACAATTCGAAAACGGCCCGGAAATGCAAGGTGTAATCACATTGCAACATCCTTCTTGGGGAACTGGATAGGCTGCCTGTGGGTATTGCATAGGATTGTCAACTTTGATATAAATTGGTATAGGAACAGGTACTGGTTCTGGATTCGACACCGAATATTGGCTTTGGTCTGTGCAATTTGTGCAATTGATTTTTGAACTTGTGTGAATGACAGTCACATTATGTTTTTCGACTGTGTACGGGCTTCTGGTGTATGGTCCAGAGGTTGGGGAAGTTGTAGTTACACAGGGCTCTACTGTTCCATCGCAACCCGTGTCACAACATTCTTCAATATTTATATTCTGAATATTTGTATTTGAAAAAGTGACAGGAATATCTATTTTATTGATATTCGTGATGTTGTTGGTTATCATGATTGTTGTTATAACAGAACCATTGTTTGTATTGCTAATATTCGAATTATCTACTACACTTGGTGTAGGATGAGAAGGTGTTATCGTCGAGGAAGGGGTAGTAGAGTCTCCAGTGTTTGGAGGAGTAGGACAAGGACTACATCTCCTCTTGCAGTCATCTGCACACTTTGGGGTCCTGCAGCCACTATCGCATATTTTATTACAGGCACTGTGGCAGCGAGTAATTGTTTCACAGTAACTTCTGCAGCAGGTAGTTGTTTCACAGTAGTTTTCGCAGCAAGTTTTTGAATCACAGCAGTTATTTGAACCATCGCAACAATCATTGTTTTCAGCAAAAATCTGTGTTACAATTATTGGTGTCAGTAGAACTACTGACCAGGTGAAGCGCTGAAAATAGATACTCTCAGTTAGAAACACATGTATGAAATGAACATTCTGAACGATAACATTATTCAAGTAAGCGTAAGGAAAAACCTTCAATGTCAAAGGAGAACTGGTGATATTTCACTTTGAAGACCATTCAATTGCTAACACATATTATCAAATCTATCAATTGATACCAAAGTCGTTTGAAATGAAATGTACTTTAGGTACTGAAAATATATTCACAATTTTTTTTCATTTCATAAATACAGATTCAAACGAATTGCTTTCAGCTCAAACTTTTTCTCCGCCTCCGAAGAATATGATTGAGATGTCATTCGATTCGGAATAGCGTGTAGATGTAGATGATTTTCGACATAATTCAAGTGCGGCTTGCAAAACTTGCGATAGTTATAAACACCGACATAATTCAAGTGCGGCTTGCAAAACTTGCGATAGTTATAAACACTGAAGTGAAACAAGGGGTTTGGTTTTTGCAAATGACTCAAAAACCATTTGACATTTTTCAAGTTCAAATAATGATTGAAAAAGTGCAGGAACAATATTGATAATT